GTTTGTAGTATTTCATACAGTCATAGGAAATGGATACAATCATAATGACACCTTTCTAGTCCTCTCCAGAAATGAAGCAACATGACCCAGTGCAGATTTCCCTTCAAGGGCTGACTGTTCTGTTCCCATCACAGGCCAAAGAACAAGTGTGGCCATCCTGGTGGAATATCCCTGTGTGAAGGCGTAGTGCAAGGGAGGCTTCTAGAAGGTTGGCTGCCCTTGCTTCAGGTTCTAGGCTGGAGTCTGATTAAGCTGCTGGCTCAGAGGTTTCCAACTTTGGAGTTTTCTAGATCCTTCTTTTTACCTCCCAGATTTACTCCCACCATTCCTGTTCCTTCACTGAATAGCCTTTGAAGATAGACGTCCATAAACTCTGCCAATGAGAATCTTTGGTCCCACTTAAAGACATGAAGGTGATAAATCACACATTCCAGGTACAGAAAGTAAATGAAGATTCTGGGTTTGCTTGTTGCCTTTGCTTGTATTTCTCTTTCCCACATATGTTTATTCATTCATTCATTCAGCCAATATTTATTGAGCACATACTAAGTGACAACCACTATACCCACTACTGGTTATGTTTAAGCATGAAATTCTAAATATATCTTTCAATCAATGAGCAACATTTTCTGCTTTCCCATACACTCTGCCTGAAATTACATGTTCCTTTTATTAAAGCATATGTCTTGGATTTCCTTCACCCTGACTCCTAACCCCATCTTCCAAAAGAACGACCTTTTACGTGTGGCGTCTCCAAGCCTTGGAGTGGAGAGAAAGCCCAGAGGACAGTTTTGCATTCGCTTCTACCAAGACTTTACAGTACAACTTGTTGGCTAATCTAAATAAATACCAGCTGTCTATAATAAATAGTAATAAAGAAATAGGGGTGCGTGGCTGGTTGGGTCATTAAGCATCTACTTTCGGCTCAGGTCACAATGCCAGGGTCCTGGGATCAAGCCCGGCATCGGGCTCCATGGTCAGTGGGGAGACTGCTTCTCCCTCTCCCACTCCCCCTGCTTGTATTCCTTCTCTCTCTCTCTCTCTCTGTCAAATAAATAAATAAATAAATCTTTAAAAAATACCAGTAACTTTGGGGAGGTGTAAAGACTTAGACAAAATGTACATCTAACACAAAGGATTCCATTTTAGTTGGGGGAAAAATGCACTCACATAGAAATTGAAGATCCAAGGCCTGGCTCTACCATTTTCCACTTGGGTGGTCCCTCTAGGCGCCATCACTCCATCCTCAAGAGTGGGCAGGCCTCGGTGATCAGCAAAGCAGAAGCCCATGTCAAGTGTAGAACTACATTATGTTAACAGTGTGTCAGTGACGAGGGTCTGAAAGTTACGTGAATGTGTTCAAGACTTGAGGCGCCAACTCTCAAGGAAATTGTCACACAAGGAGATACAGACTTGCTCTCCACACAGGTGGCTCCAGCTGCCACTTACTGATTTCCGGAATAACTCCTTCAAACAAGGAGTAAGCCTTTAAGAACAAGGATCTCATTTTGCCTGTTTTTTGAGGTTTGGAGGCTGGAATACACGTAATACACTTTTGCAAAATAAGTGGACAAAGAGCTACTGCTAATGATCTTTCTCTCCAAGGAACTCAAAGGAAAATTTGGTGAGAACAAAATGTGATCCACCAGATGAATCCAAGAAAACAAACTGACTGACAGGTTAATGAACTCTTTGGGAATATAAATGAAGGACTGAGAGGGACGGACACTGCCCTTCTCCTTACTCCTGGACACATGGCAGACCCATTCGTGGCCCTTCCACCGGTCCTGCAAGTCTAGGTATTTTCCGGTTGAAGCAACACACACATATGAGTAAAAAGTGACTGTGCCAAGCTCACTGAGCCTAAGAAAACGGAGATCAGATTATCCACCCATGTTTTTGGGTAGGAATAGATGAATGTCTAAGAAAATATATTTTTAAGAATGATAATATGAATTCAATTAAATACAATGCCTAAAGAATCCTATTTCATTATTTAAACCATTTCCTTTTAAAAACATCTTGCATATTTATTTTCTTTTAAACATCACAGGAAACTAAAATACCTTACCAAAAACTATCCATAATTCCACCACTTTCCTTGTGTGTTTTTTTTTTAAGATTTTTATTTATTTATTTGACAGAGAGAGAGAGAGAGAGAGAGATCAGAAGTTGGCAGAGAGGCAGGCGGGGGGGTGGGGGGAAGCAGGCTCCCTGAGGAGCAGAGAGCCCGACACGAGGCTCGATCCCAGGACCCTGAGATCATGACCTGAGCCAAAGGCAGAGGCTCAACACACTGAGCCACCCAGGCGCCCCGACCACTTTCCTTGTTTAGGAAAGTGTGGAGGCTGGGGAAGTAGGTAGCTTTTTAGGTGTTCACTGAGTGGAATTAACGGGTGGGGGGGGAGTATTATTTGAATCGTGACACTGTTAGATTTAATAGAGAACAAGTGAGTAGAGCAATGAGTTCTTTCTCTCTATTTACATCAACTTCCCCTTTCCCACCTGCATTTCCCCCAAGCTTATCCCTTCAGGGCGCCCTCTGATCCTGACAGTTGGTCCACCGACATTTCCAGATCAGTGTGGTCATGGAAGAAGTGTGCTGTTCACCTGTGGGATCTCTGCTCCCCCTCTGTGTTGCTTTCCTCTCTCATTCGTCTGGGGTTTACAAAGACTTCTTGGGAAACACTTGCCCCAACCTGGCGCCCGTATGTTCCTCACCTACAGCAGAGTGATTGAGGATTGACCTCAAGTACCAGGTTGCCGGGGCTCAGATCTCAGGTCCACCACTCACCATGGCCTTGGGCAAGTCATATAACCCCTCCGGAGCTCAGTTAGCCCATTTGAAAAGGGGGAGCGAGAAGAGCAGCTCTGTCATGACGGTTGTGTTTACGGAAGGAAAAATATGTATTAAGGGCTCACTGTATAACCTGAGTGGTAGTAAGTGCTTCATTAGCCTTAGTCAGTGATTATTACCTCCAAATGAGAGTCTCAGTAAAATATCCCAGGAATGTGGAAGTATGAGCCTCCCCCCCCACCCAAGAGCAGAGGGATTAAAGAGGTCAAGACGCTGCTGTCTTGTTTAGAGCACACTGCTCTGCCCCCACAAGCTGCCTAAGAAAGCAATCCCAGAGGGGAGGCCCTGGCTCAGCCTGTGGCTCCCCTCCACGCACAGGAAGCCATGGGAAAGAGCCACTGCCAGGGGCCGGAGGCTTCCAGTGTGCGCTGATCAGGAACCTTCTTCTAGGGTCAGTCAGGGTGAATGGCATCACGGAGTGGACTTGTTCACCCTCATCACTACCTCCCAGATCACCTAGGTCATCTGGGTCCCATCTCCAGACCAGGGCACCCCTCCCTCAGTGAGTTTACTCCCCAGCCTTCTCAGACAACCCTTGAACCTCACCACTCTGAGCTCTGGAATTAAGAATCTGTCATGCCGGCCACATTAGCAGCTGCAAGTGTCTCAACCCTTCCATTCTTCAGTTTCCTGTGTAAGGTCAGGGTGATCGTGGTACCTACACTTCAGGATCATTGAGAGGACTAAGTTATTCCACGAAAAGCATTAAAATACTGTTAAACACACGTGCTGTAAACTTCTGCTGTGATTTGCTACCGTTGCATGTGAAGCAAACTCCCTGAAGCTTCATCATCGGTTCTGAATGGCCCATTGCCCTTCGACCCACTCACTGGACCTCGCTGGCCACCGAGGCTCCTCCTCACATCATGAGTTCCTCAGGGCTGGGATGGAAGTCGAATAAAGGCAATCTTGCAGCCACCCCCAATGCTGTTTGCAAGGCACTGTCCTCCTCCTTCAAAAGCCTCTGGCCCCTCTGATGTTAATGTTCTCCCAACCTTTTCTCCATTTCCTGTCTTGCTCCTGTACTCACTCTTCCCCACACAGAAACAAGAATAATCTTTTAAAGACTTAATTCAGATCCTGTTCTTCTTTGCTTAGAACCCTTCTGGGGTGTGCTGTTGTATTTGGAATGAAACCCAAAGCCTGTCTGCACATCTCTCACTCATTCCCACTGACTAGATAGCAATGTTGACCTTTGTGGTTCCTGAAACACTGACACTCACTCACCCCAGGGCCTTTGCACTTGCTGTTTCTACTGCCCTCAACACCCACATTCTGGATCCTTCATGCCATTCAGGTCTGAGTTCAAAGGTCATCTTGTCAGAAAATCCTTCTAAGAACTCCCAGCATAAATAACCCCACATTCACTATCTCTTTACTCCATCTATTGTTGTTATGGCATTACCAACATCTGAAATGATCTAGACTTTTTTTTTAACTTAACTCTTTTCCTGTCTTTCCTCTCTAGGATATAAGCTCCATAAGATCAGGGATCTCTTCTTTATTGTTCATTGTATAATGCCTGAGCCTAGAATAGTGCCTGGTCCACAGTAACCCTCAATAAATATTTGATGACAAAATGAACACAGAACTACAGGGTCCAAAGACCACAGAGCTCTGGCGTTGGACTGACCTGGCTTTGAATCTGAGCTCTGCCGCCTATTGGCTGCATGGCCTTTGGCAGGTTGTTTACCTCTCTCAGACTTGAAATTCCTCAAACTAAAATATAGGCAAAGTGAGGTGCATGGGTGGCTCAGTTGTTAGGCATCTGTCTTCGGCTTGGGTCATGGGCCCAGGGTCCTGGGATTGAGCCCCACATCGGGCTCCCTGCTCAGCAGGAAGCTGTTCTCCCTCTCTCACTCCCCCTGCTTGTGTTCCCTCTCTTGCTGTGTGTGTGTGTGTGTGTGTGTGTCTGCCAAATAAATAAATAAGATCTTTAAAATAAAATATGGGCAAAAGCAGTCCACACCATCAGGGCTGTGATGAGGATTAATGAGATTACATCTACAGCACCTAACACACTACTAAATTCCAAGCATTCAACAAATAGTTGTTACTGTTATCACTAGCCAGAAGACAATGCAGACTTTAAATTTTAGTAAGATTAAAGTTTGTTAAACTTGGATCTGTTTCTCTTTTTCAGAGAATGGAGCAGTACAGAATGTAGCCAGAAGGATGGTTCCACGACTCCCACCCAGGTAGGAACTCTGCATTTTGGACAAATGCCTCCCTTTGTCTGAGAAAGAGAGCAGATCCTCACATCACCTTCCTGGGAATAATCAATCCCATATTTCAGGTTTAAAGCTGACAGATGAAGGATCCCAAGGTATCATAACTTCTTGTATAAATTAGCAAGAGGAACTAAATTTTCCATAGCATAATTGAATGCATTTAGAATGAAGGGGGAGAAAAAGGAAAACACATTTCCCTGCAAGGAATAAGAGAAAGTCTCAACTTTGTCCTCCTAAGGAAGGGTCTATTTTGTGCAATCAAGCAACACATATATGTTCCCCAGGGCATCCTGTACTTCTCAGAGCTCTCCAGTCCAACTTTTCCTTTGCTCTCCTTTCTGGATTCTCTGGATAATCAAAATAAGGAGAAAGGGGTCTGGTCTGTTCTCCTCAACATTCAAGGTCAACAGACAAAGTGCACATATGTCTATGCAGCATTTCCCTCTCTCTGGGGATCCTTTCAAGTTTTCTAAGCACTAGGCAGGGTCGTTTTTTATTTTAAGAGAGGTTGCATCAAGCTTTTTAAGGAATCCTCAGCTTTTAGCCTGCTCAACAAGGGTAACCAACGGTAGCTTTGCACTCCTTTTCTATGGGTCTACAAAGAAGTGTGATCAAAAATTCTCTTGTTCTTTTGAAGGTGGCTTTGGATGAGGAGTAGACTAAAGCAAGAAGCTGGGTGTGGTTGCGTCAGTGAGGGGCAGCTGGGGTTTGCATGGGCAATGGTCAGTTTTAGGCATCTGACAATGAGATGCCAGTGGACATCCACCCAGAGAGGTCCAGTGTGCCACTGGTCACAGCTCCAAGGAGACCACTAGGAGGTATCCCTTATTCACATTACAACCAACAATGTCCCTCAGCCTGACATTATTGCAGTTGATGAATAATTTATAAAACGAAATCCAAAGACACTTGGGTTTTGAATGAGGGAAGTTTCTACTTGGGAAGGTGAAAGGAAGCTAGGGAAGAACAGAGAAAAAGGACGGAGGCCAGGAGTGACAGCAAGGCTAGGACATGTGGAGGTGCAGCAAGAGGAGGAACAAGCAGGAAAGCAGAAAACACACAGCCATGCACGGAGAGGAGGGAGACGGACGGAGAGGGTGGGAAGAGGACAGTGGAGTGCCAGGGAGGCAGGGACAGTGAGGGCTGCGAGACAGAGGTGGTTTAGAGCACACTGAAGTCAATCTGTTACTTGAGTTTGAATGTGTCTACCCGCCTTGCCACTTATTTGGTTAATGGTCATTGGAATAAACTATTATTTGACATTTTTGTTAGCACCTCTTAAGTGAATCACTATTCACAGTTGTCTTGGTGACTTTACCATATATTAGCTTAGCTTGAACCAATGAAAGCAGTCAACATGCCCCAGGCAAACTGTAGACAGTGCCATGCAGTACAATTTCGTCTCTGTCCGACATGGTAGCCACTAACCACAGTGGCTACTGAGCATTTAAAATGTGGCTAATTCAACCAAGGAACTGAGTCTTAACTTTTATGCAATGGAGTTAACTTCTCAGAGGATGGTAAGTACGCCAAAGGGAGTAGAGGCAAGATATATTACTTGTATACAAATGACAAATCTCAAAAACTTAATAGCTCTAAAATTAATAGAACATTTACAAATAATAGCAAACTATTTTAAAGTATATTAGAAAACAATTATCTGGCACATCGAATGGTTGGTTTCACAGATATTGTAGCACTTGGGATATGAAAATGAGATAGAGCATTTATTCGAAGACCAAGATGAGTAGCAGTACACGTGGGAGACGAACACGGCATAAGCTACGAAGGCTGAACTCCGGATCACGGGAGTCTGGGGATACTCGACGGGGGGTGGTTTCACAGTGCGTTATACTGCAGGTTGACAAATGACTTTAATTTGTGACTTCAGACTCCCAGGGTGAGAAAGAAGAGCTGTTTTCCAATGGTTGCCATAGACGGGTGAGATAGAAGAGGAAGGAGGTGAGAGACTGCAAAATTCTGCCAGGAAATCAGAGATTTAGGGGAATTCAAGCCATGCTCTGTGGTTTTCGTAGGTGCGACCGGACCACTCACCACCAACACTTCACGCTCTCCTTCCCTTGCTGGGCAGACTGGGGGTAACGATGCTGATGATATCCCAGGGATACCAGGGGGACTGAATCAGGCATAGAAACAGAGGCTGCAAACTATAAGAATCAAATCCCAACATTATTCCATTTTGTTCCCTTCTCACTTTTCTTAGCTTTGTCTCCTCTTCCAGGACCCCACCTGGACCTCATTTCAATGGATCTCAGATAATTTATTAAGGAATACTAAGCAGTTTCCCTGTTTTTGGCTGCCCTGTTTCCTATGGTATACTGACCAAAGTGTTTCCACTTGGTCCAAAACCCCCGCCGAGGTGCAGGGTAAGCGATCCTTTACAAAACCAAGGCCTCGGACTATAGGTCTAATTCCGGTTATTGGTGCAGGGTGCATGTCATTGTGCAAGGAGGGGAAACGACCGGGTCCCTGCTTCTGCTGATCCTCTGAAAAAAACCTGCCAGGTCTTTGCCAGAGTGTGCCCTGAAAAACAGCCAAGGCACAAATTAACACCCACTTTCCGGCAATGGGAACAATTCCTGAAAAAGCCACTTCCACAAAACCCGAGGCAACCTGGAATAATCTGGGAGCCAAGACACAATTTATTACTTCACAAAGAACATAGAATTCTGATCCAGCAGCAAAGTAGCTGCTGGGTTTTTTCCTTTCCCACACAAGCTGCATTTCCAAGGTCTGACAGTTGCAATTTACAAGCCCAGCCTGTGAGAGGAATGCTTTACATAGCCGAAGATTTATAGAATGTCATAAGTGAAGACAGCATAGGGTAGGGATCAGGTCCTCCTTAGTCCCTCATCTTAGACTCGGGGCCACAGAGGCCCAGGAAGAGCAAGCAAGAAACTTGCCCAAGATCACACACAGCGATAGGGGATGAGCCAGCCAGCCGTGAAACTGAGCTACTTGGACCCCGGATCACTTCTGTCTCCAGCTCCTCCAATCTTTCGATTACATTCGAACATCAATCATGTTCTCAAAGTAACGTTTTAAAAGAAATATTTTTCATTTTCAAACTAGCAGGATCCAAAAGGGATTCAGGCATTGCTGAGAAGTATGGAGCCTCACAACAGCACGGGTTAATTTTTAACCCTTCCAGGCCACGTTGCCATGAAAAGAGGTAGTTGGTAAGACGGGGCCTGAAGTTGCAGTGTGCGTCCGGTGACCCAGGACAACACACAAAGGCACTGCTTGTGAGAATATGAATGGCAAAACCATTCTGAAAAGAAAAAAAACGACAATATGAATGAGATGTCCAAACCTCAGTTTTGAGCCAGAATTCCCACTTTAGGAACTTTCCCTGAGGAAGACATGTTTCCAGCAAAACACCTGGAAACAACGTAAGTAACAGCAAGGTTTGGTGAAACACACCTGGATATACCTGTCCATGGGATGTCAGGCACAAGAGAGACGGTATCTATGTATATCTTCTAACGGAGAGGTGGTCTTTAAAAAGCACATCATGAAACAGCACACATAGCACAATCCCACTGTTGTTAAAATAAACCCTTCCTGTTTATTAGCAAGCAGTGAAAAATATCAGAGTTTACCACCCAACAGAAGACCTACGAAGTGTTGAATTTTTCTCCTTTTGTTTGTAGCATCCATTTTCTTATAAAGGAAATGTATTAATTCAGAGAGGGTTTTTTTTTGTTTGTTTGTTTTTGTTAAAGATTTTATTTATTTATTTGACAGATAGAGATCACAAGTTGGCAGAGAGGCAGGCAGAGAGAGAGGAAGAAGTAGGCTCCCAGGCCCGATGTGGGACTCTAGCCCAGGACCCTGGGATCATGACCTGAGCCAAAGATAGAGACTTAAACCCACTGAGCCACCCAGGCAGTTTTTTGAAAGGTCTTACAAATGTAATAGGTTGATTATTGACTACCCAAGGTGGATACCCACAAAAGAATAATCTTAATACCTTCTCTACTGGCAGGATCCCGGAGCCGGATGGCGATGCTTATCTCTGCTCCAGCATCTGTCAAGCCTTCCTAATTACTCCTGCAGGTGGCCAGATGGAATGGGCTCGTGCCCAGGACAGAAATGTGACCTCAGTGACTACTGCCCTTCCTTCCCCTGGTACAAAGGAGTCTTCTTTCTGCTCCCTTGCAGATGTACTCGACGATTCTTCTTCTTCCATGTATGCTCAGAGAAGCTGATGTAGGCAAGGGGGCTCTAACTCTACGTCAGCTGGCCTGGGTTCGAGGACTGGCTCTGCCATTTATTTGCTGCCCGACTTTAAGCAAGTATCTTCACTTCTCCAAACCCGATTTTCTTCTTGTGTAAAGGTGTAATTTATACATCACAAAATGCACCAGCCTTAAGTGTACTGTTCCCCGAGTTCTGATAAACATTTGCAAACATTACAGATGTTTATACTCATGTATCCACCACCCAAATCAATGTAGAGAACATTTCCATTACCTGAGAAATTCCCTCCTGCCCCTTTCAAGTCCATTTCTGTAAACCGAAGCATCCACTTCCCGATTTCTGTTACCATATCTTAGTTCCACCTGTCTTAGAACTTCACAGAAACCAAACCCTGTGGATCAGCTCTTCTGTGTCTGGCTTCTTTTGATCAACATAATGGTTTCGAGATTCAGCCGTGTTGTTGGATCACACATTGGTCCTTTCTGTTGAATGTGTCTGTTGTGTGAATATACTTGGATTTGTTTATCCACTCACCTATTGATGGGTGTTTTCTGTTTGGGTCTGTTATGAATAGAGCTGTTATTAACTCTTGTTCAAGTCCTCTGTGTGTATGTGTGTGTGTGTGTGCACATGTATTTTGATTTCAAGTCCTCTCGTGTGTGTAAGCATGTGTGTGTGTGCGCCATGTATTTGCTGGATCAATTCACCAAGTGGTTGTGCCATTTTACACACCCACTAGCAATGTACGAAGACTGCTGTCTCTCTCCTCACCAACACTTGGTATCATCAGTGGAGTGGCATTCATGGTATTATGTGGAGGTTTTAACTTATATGTTCCTGATTACTAATGATGTAATTAGTGACCATTTATGTATCTCCTTTTATTAGGTTTCAGTTTAAGCCTTTTGCCCATTTCAACAGTTTGTTAGTCTTATTATTATTGGTTATGGGTTCTTTATATATTCTGGGCATAAGTCCATTGTCACATAAATGGCTTTAAAAATACTTTCCTACCTATCTCAAAAATTCAAGGTGAGGACTGTCACAGCTGACAGTCTATAAACTTTAATGATAGCCTTCCTTAATAAAATTCACAATTCTGCTATTTGTAAATAACAATAAAATGGGGGCTAAAAGCATCCGAGGATGACACAGCATCCACGGACACAGAGGAGGGGAAGCCCTCAGCTTCGTCCCACCGCCTTGGAAAGCCTCTAGTACTGCTGGTCTACCACCAGATTCTCCAGATTTTCTGTCTTCCCCAACCCTGCTTCTCCATCAACTCACATCATGATTATCACTTCCTCGTCTTGGCTTAGATTTTAAATCCATTTTTTTGCTTTGATCTGACTGCTTTCCTTTTTTCTGAAATACTGGGTTTGAGCTTCTTGCAATCACAGTTTATGTTATTTTCTTATGTGACTTGTTGTTTATCCTAAATCCCTTCCTTAACCCACCTTCCTGCCTGTCCACCTGGTTTGCATGGTCTTGCTTTTCTACCAAGAGTTGAAAGGTTCTTGTACTCTGGCCTGTTTATGTGGCTTCAGGCCCTTGGATCTGTTCTGGGTCCAACCCATTCTTTATTCTTTGCATATCTGGGCTTGCCCATGATGAACCAGACTTGGTGCCTCATTTCTTACCCTAGAAATAATACTGCCAGAATGTCTGTGGGGTAAGACGTTGATTCTGTTTCCCTGGATAAAATATTAGCATGGCCTTAGGCATCAAGGTCTTTAATAACGGACTTCCTATCATCTTTCCCTATCCAGCTTTTGTTGTTTCTCAAATAAATTTTCCAACAAGAAAATGCATTTCTATTTTTCCCCATTAAATGTATAAAATGATAAGTAAGGATCACAAGAGTTGACCGCTCATTGCTATCTCCATGGCAAACTACTCCTAGCTAGAAGAAAGAATCTGGGCTCATGGGATGGTTTTTTTTTTTTTTTTTTTTTACACTCCTCTACATTCATTCATTCATTTGTTCACTCAACATTTACTGATCACCAGCTAGCTGTGAGTTTCTGTGATTGGGGCTGAAAATATAAGTAAGCCTCAGACAAAAACCCTTACTCTTAGATGTTCACTGACTGGTGAGGAAAGCCAACAGGTAAAGGACCTTCCTTCTACAAAACAGGAAGGGTTATAAGGCAAGTGCATGGTGCCATAGAAGTTTAGGGGGAAAATGGAATATTCATTCCAGAGGCCATCAGGATTGACAGTGATGGTGATCTTTTACAGAAAAGGTTGTATTTGAGCAGTGCACTAAAGGACAACTAGAAATTAAACACAGAAGACAGGGAACACTGTCACTGGAAACGTCTTTCACCAAACCCTTAATCTCCAAGATGCCAGAAACAAGTTGGTTATAAAAATGATACCTAGCTCAAAAAGAATGTTTGAGAGAAACACACACACACACACAGAAAGGAATACGGATATTAAATAATGGCTATTTGACAATAAAAAAAACAAAAAAGTATATGTAGGTTGGTCATGCTGGGATGGTACATCTCCCACTGCTGTGCTGTCTGGGGCAAGCACAGGAAAAGACCACGCAAGCAAGCAACACATGGTCCCATCTGCAGTGTGACTGTGTTCTTCCTAACCCTGGCCAATCTGACGACCATCGGCTTCGTCTGGGGAAACGAAGACCAAGTCCACTTGGCGCACAGGTCTGTCTCCAGGGCTGTGTCCAGCACCTCGAGGCACCGAATATTTATTAAAGAAATTGATGGGTGGGGTGCCTGGATGGCTCA